TTTTCAGCCTGAGCTACAAAGTTCGTTTGGTGATTAGACTTTTATTTCACTTAAATCATCATGGTTATCTGCCCAACTATCATGTGAATTCATGATATGTTACTACTAGTTGATCATATTCACACTGTCTACTGCCTAGTCAGTCAGGATTTCTCATCCTAATCCAAATGTAATTGAATTAGACAGGGGGAGCATCATATTGATTACTATTTGACTACTATGTGAGATTGGAATGAAATAAAATCTGGTCAGCAGTTGGACCTTGTAGTTTAGCTGATAGAGCATCGAGCCAGAAATCCGTTGGTCTCTGGTTCGAATACCACGGTGGCCCAAATTTCCATTTCACCTTCAGTCACTACTCACTACAAATACTAGTCTGGTAAACTATGGCAATGAAATCAAGTGTGAATAGCCTGCTGAGGAGTCATATACTAGGATTAAACAGTTAAATCTTCATAAACCTCTAGACTAAATTACTACTGTACAGTACTCATTACCAGGTGATATGCTTCGGAAAGTCGGATGTGAGAACAGTTACTCAATGATATGATTGGATGTAGCTGTGGAGATATTAGGAGTTAGCAGAAGTAGGAAAATATGAGCTATTCAATTCCGATGCAGTGGCCTAGTAGTAACGCGCTGATCACCGGTTCTGAAGGTATTGGGTTGCACACTGCTCAGAAAAACACTAAGGAAAGTAAATATGAATCCTCTGGTTGCATTGGATGGAACAAGTTTTTAGCGAACTGTCATGAAACCAATCTGAGGCGAAAGCAGTTTCAAGTTCTAATCCACAGATACACTTTGGATATATTCGATTCCCCAGTTCGCAACATTAAAAAACATTCCAAATTTTCGACGAAAGCCAAGAAAAGTTACAATGGTAGTTAGTGGCTAGCAGTGGAAATTTGAGTGCATGTTTCGACCTATATGTGACTCATCAGTTGGCTGAAACACACGTCCTGAATTTCACTGCCAGCTACTATCCATCATTAATACCGAGACTGTAAGTGCCGACAACATCGAGGCATCCTCATAGGGGTCCATAGGCCAACAGTAGCCGATCAATTCCACTCAATAAAGAACACAGAATTGTAAGCTAAAAATAACTTGTGGTTCAATTCATTGTTCTGTTCTCAACCTCGATAGGTTGATGAATGCCCACAAACACGAAACTTAGGTTAAGTAAGGTTCCCCAGTGATCGCATCTCGTCAGTTTTAATCGATTACTGGTTAAGTCAATCTTGTATTAACAATTAAACCATTCTCCATATTTCAAAGTATTATGAGTCAATAATTTGGATTCATTTATCAATTTTCACATTTCGTCCTATTTGGGACTCATCAGCCGGATACACCTTTTTTTCATTGACACTGGAATCCAGGTCCCACTACTTTAAACATCACCACCAGCCACTATTTATTATCGATTGCAAAAAAAACTCTTCTCAATTACAGATGGGTGAAAATCCTGAATAGCCCTTTGCTAACAAAAAAAAACTACATCACCATTTGATTAAAGAATTTAATTTTACCGAAATTTATTTCATTTCCACATTAAATATCATATTGTGCTATTTACTCAAGAATTCATTGTCATATTTATTGCTGTCTGAATTGGTAGAAGCTTTTGTGAGGCAAAAATTTAATTAGATGAACGTCAATAAAATGCAACGCATACACAAACACACATACACATTTATATACACGTATGTTTATGTGTGCATATGGATGTATACACAAATCAAATGACTATCGATCACGTGACTGCCTAAATTAGCTAATGAATAGACAGACATATTGATTATTTGATAGGTAGACAGATAGCACACGTGCACGGCGGGCTATAAAGAAGCGTGTCGAATCAAACAAAATATCATTATTACTGATATATATATATATATATATATATATATATATATATATATATATAAATAATTCTCTATTGTTATACTGGATGCAACTGTTCGACCTTTATTGGTATAGGACGAAACGAGCGTTCTGGTTTCCTCTGTTAACCACTATCAAGCACATGTTATTTCCCAAAAAATACAGAAAAAACAATAATTTCTTCCCTATTAATAATTTTTAATTTTGCCCTAGGGGTAGTATTTGTGATGAGGTGTTGAGACTAGTGTTAATTGTTGAACAAGAGAAGCCGATAATTAGTTGATTTTCTCCAGTGCATAGGTGAGTTAAATGGGCAGAAGGATTCATCACACACACATACGCACACACGCAGACATGTATCGTAGTCTGTCTGTTTGTATATCTATCCTACCCACCTACCTAACTTAGATAATTATCAGCTGTTTTCAACAGATGAAGCTGTAGGCATCAGTAGCTTATAGTGAGCTGAAGAAGTTCTACTGTTAATTAAAACAAGGTGAAAAGACTAGCAAATTTATTTTTCGGATTATAATTAGGGAGTTAACATACTGCAATGTATTGTATTACGTGCTTTTCGCCGATTCACAAGATAGACAATCTTATTTTCTGTGTGTATGGAAACACTGGATAGCTGCTTCGTCCTAGTATGGGACTCTTCAGAAATGCGCACATAGGCTGCTGTCAGAAATCGAAAACAGGACCTCCAGTTTCCCTGGTCAACATGCATGACTGAGGAGTCCGATACTCAGACGAAACAGAGATCTACAGGTTACCAGCCTGACATTCTGACGGATAGATTAGTCTGTGGGTAACATAAAACGTTTCAGGAGGTATAAATCATGTGCGGACCAAATTGCAACGCTACGCATCATCATAGAATACAGTATAGAATGCCAGTCAACTCAACTTCATCCACTTTGAAAAGGTTTTCGATAGAGGCGTCGATCGAGAAGTAATCTGGCAGGTAGCTGCTTCAACAATACGGTCTTAGTACCACCAAACTTTATCAACCTCATTCAACAGCTGAATGAAGAAGCCAAATGTCGAGTGATTCACAATGTAAAGCTGCTCAGTGATCTATTTGAAGTGAAGACAGGAAAGAGTAAGACAAGGTTGCCAACTACTATCATCACTGATCATCTTCCTCATTGTGGTCGACTACATCATGCACCAAACTGTGAGGAGCAACAAGCGGGGCATTTGCTGGCTAGACCGATGAAAAGACCACACAAGAAGATTTGCATTACACCACCGACGATGATTTATGTCTAATGTATGGTGGCACTAACTCGAAGATCTACAGGCAAATTCCAACAAGTTGACAGAAGAGGCAAGACAGAGAAGGAAGATGGGACTCACTTCAAGTGGATGTAGAGAAGACAGAGGTGATGAAGATACTCAACCAACAGCATCATCAACAACAACAACAATCACCAGTCATCATCAACGGGAGAAACTTAAAGCAAGTAACCTCCTTCACCTAAATAGGCAGCATCGTTTCAACTACAGGCGGCAGTGGTGGCGGTGGCGGCGGCGGCACACAAGAGGATGTCAAAACCTGCCACGATCGGAAACACACTAAGACAGACCTTCATCCATTAACCTGAAACCAGTGTGGAGATCTTCTGCACTCAGCATAAAGCGTCAACAACATCCGAATTTTCAACACTAATTCAGCCAAGTCAGTGCTTCTGTATGCTTCAGAGACTTGGTGTGTCACGAAAGGTAGTTTCAACAAACTACAGATATTCATCAACAACTGCCACCTACTCACACTCACTACTGAAGATCAGATGGCCAGAAGGGATAACCAAGAAAGGAGTCCGACTGGTAACCAACCAACCAACCAACCAACCAACCAACCAACCAACCAACCAACCAACCAACCAACCAACCAACCAACCAACCAACCAACCAACCAACCAACAAACAAACAAACAAACAAACAAACAAACAAACAAACCAACAAACAAACAAACAAACAAACCAACCAACCAACCAACAACCTATCACTCAACAAATGTGCATTGGAAGGAAGTGGAGATGGATTGGATTGAGCATACACTGAGAAGAGCATTCGGGGACATCATGCACCAGACCAGGCCATCGAGTGGAACCCAGATGGGAAACGGTGGGTTTGGCGTTGTAGGTGAGAGTGACATAGAGGAGATGATGTGAGGAAGAAATGAAAGCTTGTGGGTAGTTGTGGCGACAGGTTGAGGAGACTGTAGAGAACAGAGTGGAATGTAGACGTGCCACTGAGGCCCTATATTCGACTAGGAACCCATGGGACAAATAATAATAAATCGTAAAACGTGAAAAATCTACTAGGACACAGTTACACACATACATACATACAAACACTAAGTACATACGTATGCATATCTACTTAATTAGACGTTTTATTGAACTACGAATTTTTTTTATAGTAGACCTCCAACTCTTTGTCTCTTTAGTGAAATGAATATTAAGGAAACATCTTTAATTACTGTGTTTTTCAAATGGAATTCATATTTTTTCGTGTTTTCTAAATTTTCGTCAAATTTATTCCTACTTCGATATTTTGAAATGGCTTGAGAGAGAGAGAGAGAATGAGTGATGAGGGGGTGAAGGTAGTGTGCTTTGATGTTGGTGTAATGGTGCGGTAATAGCTTTCAATATCTCCCCCTCTTTCTCTCTCTCTCTCTCCCTGTCTCTGCTGAACTTAGACACACCACACACACACACACACACACACATACAGATGTACATATCGATGAAGAGACAAAATACGACAGAATAAGATAAATTAAGAAGAGGAAATGCAGTTTAAGAGGAAAATTACTTTCAAAAAGTGGATGATGGATAGTTACTGACACTATGTTTTCCTCTTGAAAGAAAAGAACCAGAATGGATAGGTAGGGAAGATAGAGATTCTTCTTAAGATGTTTTTATTGGGAAAATATTTAATATTTCCAATAACAACAACAACAACAGAATACCTCTTAATTTCCTTTTTTTTCTGCTCACATGCAAAATAACACCCTTAAGTGCATGTAGCGTATATTCACAAATTATTTCATTAGTAATTACGTTGTTTTTTTTCTCCCCATGAACGTGCCGTTCTTTAGTTTTCACACACACACACACACACAAACCAACAAACAAAAAGACATACATTTCAAAGGAGAACAGCTGTTTAGACACATTGTTAAATTCCCATTAATTTTAAGCTTTTATTCATAACACAAGATTCACAATTGAAAATAGTGAATAGTAATAGAGACAAAAAGCGCGCGCGCGCGTACGCACTCTCTCTCTCACACACACACATTAACAAACATGGAGGAAACTTTTTAGTGTAAAATTACCGGTTTTCTAAGATGTAGAAGAAGAAAAAGAACAAGAATAAATACGTTTCTTAACAAATTAATCGGATTTTCCAAGTAGATCGAAAAACAACAACAACAACAACAAACGTGTTTACACACATACTCACAGACTCAAAATATAGCTTATATTACACACCACCAAAATGAAACACATGAAAGAGATTAACATACAAATTAAAATAAAATCTGTTCGTGATAATATAATAATCATCATTCATCGATCAAAATTAATTAACTTTTCTATTTGCCATTGTTGTTTTGTATTCAAGATCAATAGTTCAATGAAGTAGAATGTGATAGCGAATTAAGGGAAAAACATATACATATATGAAGTGCGAACGCACATGTACGCGAGCGCGCGAAAGATGAAGAGAGAAATAATAAAGAATTACACATTAAAATTGTCTAATTTTATTAATTATCTCGCCCATTATTATTATTATTATTAATATTATTTCATAAATAAAATTTTAATGATTAAAACTTAATTATATAATTAATTAATTAATTTGTTTTGAAAAATATATAAATTGCTTTGTTATTTCAAATTGATTTATTTGAAATTACAAAATGTCATTTTGATAATGATTGAGATACAGGTGAATAGAAAAAGTGGTAAGCCGGCCGATTTTTTTTACCTAAGAAGATGGAACTGATTGATTAATGAGAATGTTCGATTGGTCTTTTTTTCAAGGTAACCAGATATATGAAAGTATGACCTGTCCAGGTGAATCATGTCAACAATAGATCAAACTTGTTTCCTAATCGGTTGGAGGGTGTGTGTGTGTATGAGTGGATAAGAAGTTCTCTCTTTCTTGTCTAACAAGGATATAACATGGTAAATTCGTAAATTATCGACTAATTCCACGGTCTATGTAGACATATCAACAAGGTTTCGGTTAGAAACCCGTCAGTCAGCCAAGAATACAAGATGCGATCTGTCATACAAGTGTTATGAGCTAGGGAATTATGCTACTACTAAACAACTTGAGTAGTTAGAAACTACTAAGGTTGACTTGTAGATTTCGTCAGCCTACAAGATCAGAGTGGTCCAAGTATACCGGACGGACCTTTCTCTTGTTTGGCACTGAGCCAACTTACCAGCGATGCAGCGGGACAAATTCAGTTCATATAGCTCAATTACTTCACATCACTGACTTGCTATGTTGACATTTTGACTAAGGTTTCTGTTAGAAACCACAACACCCAGCCAACACCATAACGTGTAATCCTGAACACAAAAGACTCATGAACTAACGATATGTACTGCTGAGAAATATGAGTAGTATATTTCCGACAGACATATTTTACAAAATACAAATGTTGTACACAAAGTTAAACTGAAGGAAATATAACGCTGATATGAAAGAAAATAACTTTCTTCCGAGTAATAACAGTATCATTCAAGGAGCTTGACGTTTTAACCTACACACACTCGTTCGCTGATCGGCCTAGGTCATGGGTTCGAGCCCCGCCCTAGATGTCAAGGTGTGCTGGCTATTGCACGAATGTGCATGTCAGTATTGAGTACATTTCGATTTTTTGTGTTAATCTATGGTACTATCCTTAAACTGGAGATTATGAGTACAAATTAGACAGTTTTCTGGGATGTAAACTTTGCCTAGATTGTCGATACTAGTAACCTATAGGTTGATTCATTTTTACCTCCGAATCACTATCGAAATGTATTCAGTAACTTTGTACACATCTGTATAGTAGGCAGTGGTTCACACCTCATTGCATGACGGTTATTGATACTACTACCTGACTCCTTTTGGCTTAATAGGTGGAACTCCGTCTGGACACATGACCCATCGATTGGAAATCAAAAGCGTAGACCGATGCGCTGCAATTCCACAAGATCAGTGATAAAAATTAAAGCTATGTAAAACTGTTGATGTGGCTTAAAAGCCTATATATGCTTATGTCTAGTTGTACAAGTGTAGGGTAAATGGGGGAAGGGAGGATAAGGTTATGAAGTTAAGAAATAACACACGCTTATCAACCATCCACTCTTTTGAGTTAATTTACCTTAAGCAGAATTAAATCAGAAGGGATTTAACCAGTATTGAACTAAGTAACACTATGTTCACTCGGAATTTTGGTTGGATAAGCTAAATCGGTGACCGGAGACCTTAAGTTCTACCGTTTAAAAGTGAGTACAGTGCTACACATGAAGTTATATCCATTGCTTGCTTATTTCACCTATTGATTGAATCAATTTCTGCCTGTTTATGTGGCGATGTCCCAACTTGGACCGATACACACCCATATAACTGATAGTAACTTGGCAGACTCCCCTCTGGTTCTATTCTATAATTCAATTTGAATGCATAAAACCTCTTTCTTGATAGATATCCCAAGACCTAATGACGATAGTTTCCGGGAAGGAAGTACAATACAGTATCATCTGTTCTTTAACAGTTAGCATATTTAGCATAATTGAAATAACCAAGAAGCTCCAATGTGAAGTCATAACCCTATTTCGGGGTGGGCAAACAAGATGAGAAGGATGTAAGCCCACATAGATGATACTTGATGATGGTCGTAGTGTACTGTAAACTATCAGGAGTAGGAAATAATAGAACACTAGAATAGTTACCAAGTCATCATGAAACTTGACTTTCCTAGGCTCGATTCCCTACTGGGTAGTGGATATACATAACTACGTAATGTCATGTTATGATGAGATATTTTAAATATAGTAGAATTCATATATCTGTCAAAATAATGAACACATTGGCAATCTTATTCATTAACAGAAATCAATAACAACATGTATTCAATGGATGCAGTATATGAAGTTATCCACTTGGATACCCTGCAGAGACACAGTTATACATTCATTAACTACAACTGCAATAGGAATAAAACACAACAATTTCTATAAAGGTCATATTTGACAGTAATTTGAAATCTACAGCATAAATGAGACAGAATAAACTTGATGGGTTATTTTTCTCTCTCTTCAGAATGGATAAAAGTTCACTAGCGAGAATAACTGATGTATCTCCTCTGACCTGTGACAGCATTTCAACCTGTTGGTTAATGAACAACATACTGGTCTCTTTTGTTTAGAGGAGAAAAAAAAGTTTTCACAGCATTACTTAATCAGAGTTAGAAGAATTTCTGATTGCTTATAGATGAAAATATCACTTTCTAATCGATTGAATAACATTACAGTCTTGTGAGTAACAGTGGAATCCAAAATGCATGTTTCATCTCGCCTGAGACTCTTCAACCGGATGTGCCTTCATCCCAGTGGGTAATGTTGTTGTCACTGAGAGTTGAACTTAGTATTCATCACTTAAAAAAGGCCAAAAAGTCATCCACTAAGCATAACATGGTAACTACGACTGTCTTAGATAACCTCCGTGATAACCAACAATATGCTTCAGCACTAACTAATTCAGCTCATCTAGGCAGTCAGTGAGCTTATCATGAATCGGCCAAACAAAACGCCACAATCAGCAGAGTGCTAGGCCGTATAACACACAGATAGCTGATTTAGGTTCTCTTGTAATCTAGACTCTAATTTTAACCATCTGAGATGGCATTGGTTTGGTAGACTAATACTTATACTGGGTGATGATTGAAGAGGAAATGAAAATTTTAACCATAGCCGGTTTCGGACCAGCAGCCACAGGGTTTCCGGCTCGATACTTTACCGACTGAGCCACGACATCGGATTACTGACCAGATTTTTATTTCGTTTCAATTACCACGGGTTTCTGCCTGACTACGAAGTAAATTCATCACTTGATCGTATTCACACTGGCTGCCTAATCAGGATTTCTCATTTCCAGTCCAGATCTAATTGAATTAGACTATTTGTAATTTGTTACTAATATTTAAAAAAGTAGTATATCTGGCATTCATATGAATCACTGATGCTTACCTTAATGGTTAACTAATATTTTCAATGAAATGTAAAATTATTATTTATTTATTTAATTTTCCCTTGGGTTCCTAGTCGAATATAGGACCTCAGTGGCACGTCTACATTCCACTTTGTTCTCTACAGTCTCCTCAACCTGTCGCCACAACTACCCACAAGCTTTCATTTCTTCCTCACATCATCTCCTCTATGTCACCCTCACCTACAACGCCAAACCCACCGTTTCCCATCTGGGTTCCACTCGATGGCCTGGTCTGGTGTGTGATGTCCCCAATCGGCCTTCTCAGTGTATGCCCAATCCAATCCATCTCCACTTCCTTCCAATGCATATTTGTTGAGTGGTAGGTTGTTGGTTGGTTGGTTGGTTGGTTGGTTGGTTGGTTGGTTGGTTGGTTTGTTGGTTGGTTGGTTGGTTGGTTGGTTGGTTGGTTGGTTGGTTGGTTGGTTGGTTGGTTGGTTGGTTGGTTGGTTGGTTGGTTGGTTGGTTGGTTGGTTGGTTGGTTGGTTGGTTGGTTACCAGTCGGACTCCTTTCTTGGTTATCCCTTCTGGCCATCTGATCTTCAGTAGTGAGTGTGAGTAGGTGGCAGTTGTTGATGAATATCTGTAGTTTGTTGAAACTACCTTTCGTGACACACCAAGTCTCTGAAGCATACAGAAGCACTGACTTGGCTGAATTAGTGTTGAAAATTCGGATGTTGTTGACGCTTTATGCTGAGTGCAGAAGATCTCCACACTGGTTTCAGGTTAATGGATGAAGGTCTGTCTTAGTGTGTTTCCGATCGTGGCAGGTTTTGACATCCTCTTGTGTGCCGCCGCCGCCACCGCCACCACTGCCGCCTGTAGTTGAAACGATGCTGCCTATTTAGGTGAAGGAGGTTACTTGCTTTAAGTTTCTCCCGTTGATGATGACTGGTGATTGTTGTTGTTGTTGATGATGCTGTTGGTTGAGTATCTTCATCACCTCTGTCTTCTCTACATCCACTTGAAGTGAGTCCCATCTTCCTTCTCTGTCTTGCCTCTTCTGTCAACTTGTTGGAATTTGCCTGTAGATCTTTGAGTTAGTGTCACCATACATTAGACATAAATCATCGTCGGTGGTGTAATGCAAATCTTCTTGTGTGGTCTTTTCATCGGTCGAGCCAGCGTGTGCCTATCTTCTTGCTCCTCACAGTTTGGTGCATGATGTAGTCGACCACAATGAGGAAGATGATCAGTGATGATGGTGGTCGGCAACCTTGTCTTACTCTTTCCTGTCTTCACTTCAAAGGCGTCACTGAACAGCTTCCTATTGCTTCTTTTCAATTTGTTTCAAAGTCAACGAATCTTAGGATGTACTCGTACGCATTTCAATCAGTCATTTCACAACTTGACAATAAAATTATAAGTAAACGTCATAGAAGATGATAACTGCAGCTTAAACACATCACAAACAGTACAAAAGATAAGGATTCATGAAATAGTTAACTGAAAGTGGAAATATTCAGGGTAATTGAATGAACCTCCACCACCAAATTTAGAGCTGTTTT